CATCTTCAAGTTTGTGTGACATCAGACACAAGTCATCGGCGATATCCAGATCTTCTAGGTTCTTTTCCGTGGTCCAGCCTATCCCCCTCTGCTCATAGCTCCCCACTGTTTGCTGCATGATCCAGTCCAGTCGACCACAATCAGGAATATCATGGGAGATAGTAGGCAACCTTGCTTCACTCCTGTCTTCACTTCACTTCAAAAGCATCACTGAGATTCCCGTTGTGAATTACTTGGCTGGCATGTGGCATCTTCATATAGTTGCTGAATGAGATTGATAAATATTTGTGGTATTCCGTAGTATTGAAGCAGTTTCCAAATTACCTCTCGGTCGACGCTGTCAAAGGCCTTCTCAAAGTCGATGAAGTTGAGGTGGAGAGTTGACTGGCATTCCATTCTCTATTCTATGATGATACGTATCGTGGTGTTGCAATTTGGTCCGCACATGATTTGTACTTCCTGAATCCAGCCAGCCAGCCAGCCTGTTCCGGTCGTAGTTTTGAATCCAGAGCATTTTTAAGCCTCTCCAGGATGATGCGGCTTAATATTTGCTTGGAGTGGACAGGAGAGTAATTCCGCGCCAGTTCTTGCAAACACTGAGGTCTCCCTTCTTCGGTAGTTTGACAAGGTAACCCTTCTTCCAATCACTAGCTAGATACCTTCCCTTCCTTCCACACCTTCTGCAGTAGTGGTGTGAGCATGTCTGCTATTGTCTCTGCATCTGCTTTCAGTGCTTCTGGTGGTATCCCATCTGGTCTTGCTACTTTCCCACATTTCAGTAGCTTTATGGTCTTCAGGACTTCCATTTTTGTTGGAGGCATTATGTTCACCTGTAGTTCAGCGGCTGCAGGTGGTATTTCTGGACGAAGTGCAGGTGGTGAAGGTGGTGGTGGTTGATTCAAGAGCTTCTTGAAGTGGTCGGCTCATTGTTGCCTTTGTTTCTCTTCTTTCGTAATCAAATTTCCGTCATCATCTTTTATTGGTTTCATCTGCGTTGATCTCTTCCTAGATAGCAACCTGGTTATTTGATACAATTTGTAGTGTTTTATACATTGTACTCAGTTCCTCTTGTCGTTGAGCATCCACGCACTGGTTTATCTTCTGTTTCACCATCCTCCTCTCCTCTATCAGCTTCCAGGTATCCGTCGAGATCCATTCCATTCCTTGTCTTCTTTCTTCTTCCTTCCTAATACGACTGAGCAGGTTTCTTTCCACATCTCTTTCAAAGACTTCCAGTGTTCTTCCACACAGGTTTCTTCAGGGATGTTCCTCAATATCTCCCATTTTGTCTTGATGGCTGGCTGCCGTGAAGATTTCCTTTGTAGTTTCTTCCTTCAGCTTCTGTTCCGAGTGTTGTACTTGAACTGTGGTCTATCACCAGCTTCCTTGAAGGCTTCAACTTGATTTGGAAGGTGGGTTCCTTGCACTAGATTGTGAGTGGTCTGAACCTACATCTGCTCCTCTTCTTTATCTTGTGTCAAGTAGACTGCATCTCCATTTTCTTGAGACTGAGATAAAGTTGATTTGATTTTTAGTGTGTTCTGGTTTCTGGTGAAATCCATGTCGCTTTGAGGATATCCTTGTGCTTGAACACACTGCCTCGCCTCCAATCACCAAATCGTTGAATGCACAGAATTCTGCAAACGATTCTCCATTCTCGTTCATCACCTCACCGAGCGCTTCTCGACCCGTGATAAAGAGTTCTCTTCCTGTGTTGTCCCCTCCCAGTTTGGCATTCACAAATCACTATAGTGTCATCAAAAGATGTATGTTGTAAAGAGAAACTTTGGTGATTAGACCATCATATCTATGCCCTTAGGATCATTAGTAAGTGATTATGGAGAGCATGAGGATTTGGTTTGTCGATTAAAGAGATTAAACCTTGAACAAAATCATATCAGCTTGTTATAGGGAAAAGAGATGAATAATAGTTCTGTTTACAAGACAGTCACCTTTAGATGCTACACTAACATTAGTCTTTTTAAAATAAGACATAGATGAAGGGAAATGGAACACAACAAACACATTAGTTTCAATAAATGAAGTTGCTTGACAGTTTAAACAAGCGAAAGCGTTAAGTTATGTCAGGAACCTTGTTATGTTGGTGGAATTTGGTAGGTCAGAATCAAAGTGAGCCTTAATAAGATCCTTTTTGGAGATAGGTTTGACAAAAGTTGGTGGGACAAAACTGCAAATTTCTTCCATGGCTAGTTCGGAATAAATAATTTCTTGGACTATGACTTCGTTGCAAAGAACGGCATGCAGGAAGCAAGCAGAAAAAGTTTTCAAACATGTGGTCAGCTTCTATGGGAACTCAACAGTTTTCCGTTCCATGCTAAACCGATCAGGCAGTAATACAAAAGGACTGTCTTAAACATGTAACCAGCCAAATAACGCCTAAATAATATTGGTACTAGTACTACGCATGGCAGATTGGTGCATGAGTTACTTCTATCCATGTAAGTCAGTAATGTAGATATTAACCAGTTCGTTGTTGAAACTAATGAGAAAGACCGAGTGCATCGAATCAAAACCAAGCTTATATAACTAGACATAAGTAAGAGAATTACTGCTTTAAATTAACAGTTGAATATTATTCTTTTCGGGACATGCACTTTAGATGATGCTGCTAGGTGCTGTCAAATAAAATAAAAATCTATTTGACAGTGTCAATTTTTCGGTATGTTTTCTTTTTCTTTCTAGATAAAAATACTCGAAAGCCTACAACTAGTTATAACGAAGTGTGCGGTGGGGAAAATTATGCACACAGTGTTTATAATTCTAGTCCAATCAGACACTGGGGTAGGGATTTGTTAGTTTAAGGTGTATTATCATAATCAACCTCAAACCAATCCCTAGTTTCGATAGTGGGTGCTTGTGTGCTTAATTCTGTTTTATGTTTGTGCTTTAGTTAGTAGACATATCATCTATTGTATGTTTGTGCATAAGATGCCTATAGACGAATTATATGCTTTTCACTCGAATTATATGTTGTGTACTAATGAACAAGCAGACTGTTTTTATATGAAGATGATGATTACAATAAGAATACTTCAACACAAGGTCATTCCATCAAATTATCATCATATTCACTCCTTCCTTGACCCCAGTGTTTCTGTTTGCATTGGCTTTATATTTCTCATATATGTACACAGTTAATTACCTGAAAACATCACAGTGGTGGGAGTAATGCCTTAAAAATTGCTAATTATTATTCATATCATTGTTACATGTTTGAACACATGGTAAATGTGAACGTTACTTAAAAAAATATCTCAAATGTGAAAGTGACATCAAGAAGTACTGTTATTACATCTGATAATAATAATGTTACAACTAGGAAACAAAACAGAGCATACATAGTACACGTGTACATGATAGAAAGCCGGAGACTTCTTTGTCCTTTGATGCATTCATAATGGTGGAATTATCTAAATGTGGTCTTTGAAAAAGAGATGTGTATTTTCTTGTATGGACTTCTTGCAATTATACAATTAGTTTATTTACAATTTCAAGTTTATGCCTTAACTGATCCCAACAACTCTCAGTGCTACTACCTTAAACATTCACTCAACACTTGTATTACAAAAATCAAGAATTATAATGATTTTGTCGCTACCTACACTGTTTATCAGTTTGACAGATGTTCAATGTGTCGAATCAATCAACAATACTGTGAAGTAAAACATTTGATTTCGTTTAATGGGAGCGGATGGGAAAATATATTATTTCTCAAGTTAAACTACACTATAAGTATTCAGTTTATTCCAAGGATGTCATGCTTTTGATCTGTGGATTGTATTTATACATATTTATCCGAACCCTTCACTTTTATTGCAAATCCATATTCAGTAGATATGATAACCTAGTAGACAACAATCATTTTGATAAAACTCAAAGGTCAACCTCTCACAATCACTTTGGGAATATCAGTCAGAAGAAGAAATAACTAACGACATTCCAGTACAATATGTGACACCTGTGAGGCTGTCAACATTGTATCTAGCATTTATAAACTACGCTAACCATTGGCTTCATTGCATCATTAGTAAAGTAGTCTTTAAAACATACAAAAAAACCTGTTTATCGATATTCTTATTATCACCATGCATATATCAGAAATATCTTGTTAAAATTTACTCGCTTGCAAACAATCTTGAATACCATTTTTCATTTCAACCATATAACGTCTTAAAGTCCATATTAGCCCATACAGAACAGTGTTCTGTAAAGTCTGAAGAATCACATAGCACAACAATCATAGATTGGTTCGGAAAGTTTTTTCGGTTATATGACTACTGGAAATGTTTGTATAAAAAGTATTCGAGATTTCGAACAAGACGAAGAAGGAGAAGAAAGTGTGATCTTAATGTGAATGGTCAACAGGCCTACCTAAGTAATTCCAGTAATTGTAGCTATCATCGTCTCTTCTCCATATTTTACAAATTCTACCTATTATTTATGATTGTTAACTCTGTTTTCTGCATATCAAAATCTTCGAGACAAAACAATTTACCACTATTAGTTAAAGATTTTGATGAGTTGACAGTCAGATTCAACGAATCAAACGAGATTATTCATAGTACATACAATTATCAAGCTCGTACCATCTATCATTTTAGACCACCAGATGAAAAACGACCATGTCGATATCGTTTCCGTGATGATCCTGAGACAAGTGCATTATTAGCTGACTATGTGATTGTAGGTCAGCCAACGCAGAGTTATCGTCGAAGATTTGGCCCACTGTATAATGTTAGCCTGATGGTGACACACATTCTTAAAAGTGTTCAACACAGTATCTTTCCTGTTCGTGTAAATCATTTATTACGTGTTGGACAGTTCAGTATATTTCCTGATCCTGGAAGATGTTGGATTAATGTACACATAAATAAAAAATATATTTTTTTCTTGCGTCAACCAGATTGGTCAGGATTTTGTAAAATCACGCAGTTGCCGCTTGAGTATACAAAGAATCATATCGGGCCATTAAAAAAATCATGAGACTTGGAGGTAAGTATCTTCAATGAGCAATAAGTACAGGAAAATATTTCTGTACTGTAACTTAGAAATTTGTTAATCTAGTTATATGTTTAGTCCCTCAGAGTTAATTTTGAAATGTTTAACCACTTTCAACCACGTGTCTAACGATAAACATAAAGTATTCTTCGTGCTGTCTAACTACAATGGAGTCATTTAATGTTACTTAACATAACAAGAAACTCTTTTTACCAGATATTGATACCAGGTAAAAAGTCATTGCTTAGCAAACATTATTAACGGCTGCTTTATTCAGTTTTACAACTTTCTTGAAGTGTTATTGTTACGCCCATTCAGGTGGAAATGAAAGTATCTTATGTTTCAAATATCGTTCGTCAGTGGAACATCAATATTCAATGTATCAATATTTTAATGCAGATCATCGTAACATTCCTTTCATCGCCTTTTGCTTTTAAGTGATAAAGAATCTAGATTCCTTTGTAGCTCAAGTACATTCAGAACATTTGAGTTCACCAAAGGTTTTTAGATTAGTCTATGTTCCAGCAATCTGATTATACCGTATAAATAGTCACCATCTGATGCAGAAATATTAACCTCAGGGAAATGTAGTGACTTATTTCAGTTTATTTATATAGTTACTTATAAGTAGTTACGTGTTTTACTTTCAGCTTTATACTAATAGAAATTTGACGTGATTTTATCAGCACTAAGAAAAATACAAAATCAATTCGATTAAATGATGTTATCTGCTTCAATAAAAATTGATAAAAAGGCACATTTAAGAACTTAGTCCAGTTGTTGCAAGAATTAGATTAATTCCGAAAGATTGCAAAATAAACTGATTTGGACTGAATGACCGATCACAACTACTGCCTACAGGATAGGGATTCTCCCAGCCAAAGTTATCTCATTGCTTTTCCGATTACAAAACAACATCTTTGAGTTAATTGGTTGTAGCTAGCAGTGGAATTCAGGATACCAGTTTCATCCTATTTGGAACTTGTTAGCTGCTAGCCGAAACCAAGTCACCATAATAATAAACATTCAAGCAATATCGAGGCATCCGCATGGGAGATCAGAAGCCAACATTTGTTGATCAGTTACATCCAGTACAACAACGGAGAATTACAAGTATCAACAAATAAAAATCGCATTTTTTAAGTCTATTGTTTGACCTGAAGTCTAGGAGAATAATTCAAAATAGCGTGAAACATTTGCTGAAAAGAAAATTAGTACTTGATTTTATCTCAGTCATTTGCAAGCTGATGGTTGGGAGTTGAAAATATCTACAGCTTACACTGTCAAAAATCCATAATCGTAACGTTTGCGTAGCAGCGACCAAGTTTTATTTATGTTCCCTTGAGGATGGAAATAATAATAAATGTTTTCTAACTATGCAATTACAGCTTTGTGGATATATCTCCTTTTGGTGTTCATTACTTTTCAGTAACTAATTTATCTTGTAATTAACTACCGCCAAAATATACTTCACTCATGCATATCAGTTGCTCCCATTGGTATGAGAAGGAATCTCAGTTGTCTTGAAAATAAGTGCAACTGACTGCTTGTATTTTTTGGGATTATGATAAATTTGTCGCATGTCAAACCATGCATATATATATATATATATATATATATATATATATATATATATATGATAATTTTTTCTCTTCAAGTTCCCATATTTCATAACGCGAGTTTCACTGAATATCAGAAAAAATCGTACAATGATTCTCATCATCATTAGCACCAATTTTTTTCGGCAACTGATTTAGGGTTTAGTGTTTGTAGCCCAGCTTCCATCAGTTTTCTAGGCTTCCAAATTTAGATTTTCATTTGTTCAGGGGTCAAGGTCAGTTTCGCATCGTCTTCATTGAATCTACACAAAGTAGTTCAGGTTAGATTTATGTAAAGCTAAAAATGTAATTCTTGGCTAAGATAGAGTGCCATCTTCTGAACGAACCACATGAAAAACTTCAAGTTCCTTATTTCCTTACGGTGTCACCGCCATCAGGTGTCACAGGCATTAAATTAGCGAATTTAGTCTCACTGACCACTGTATCAATTATTATAATATTGTACTAACTGACATTCTATGTTTTTAATATAAGCAAGTTAAGCAAATAAGATGTAAACTCTTCCTTATTATATTAGTCTATAGTTAGAACCTATGTGAGAAGATACCGCTCTTGGTCTAGGCTTCCTAATCTTTAACTGACTTCACACTGATGGACTTCTATCCTTTTACTGGTACGATACGATTTTCGGACTTGACACATTAGTACCAATTTACCTAATGAATGATTAGCTTGTTTACATTCTTTTCCAACCGTCACAAGATAACTCACTTCAGCTGCCTATATTTGAATGGTTATGTTACCCAGTCAACCTAAGTATATTTAGCAGAGCTGCTTCTGAAAGTAAAAGCTGGTTCCTGTCTGACACTAGAAACGTAAACGTATAACCTTGCATACGGATGTATCGGCTCAAGCTGCCAAACTTTGCAGTTGTACACAAAGGACAGGTGGGTAGAAAAGAGTGATATCAAAGTAGAAAAAGTTGTTTGAGAGAAAGACAGTCTGAAGATAAAGGTTAGTGAGAATATTCAAGCTTAAGACGCCGAAGAGTGAATACATCCGAGCCATGTGACCGATTTTCGACCAGATCACCAAGGCTCGTCAATAACTGATTTATATCGTCTCAAAATCCCAACCAGGCAGTTTACATCTCTTCAAACGACTCAAGCCAACAGTCAGGGACTTCATTGACTGGTGCCACGTCTTGGTCCAGCCACCATAAAAATGAAAAAACTGGTTAATTTCCTGTATATCGAGTGATATAATAAATGACTGCTTCTATCCTCAGCTCCTTATTTTATTACCTTAACCGAGCTCTAAAATAATCGCTTAACTGGTACATAAAGTTTGAAGTAAGTTGGTGACAAATCTACTACTTTCGAGATGATGAGAGTCTATCCAGACAATATGAGGCCAAACGTTACTTTTTTACTATAGAAAACTTGTTGATTAACACTAACTTATGAAGAAAAAAAGAATATAATTGTCACTCCATTTCTGATAAGTAAAAGTGTTTTTAATCATACTACCTAACTTCAAAATTTAGCCTAAATAAATACAATTATGTTGTGTGCAATTTTGTTGGCTATTTTAAATCTTTCCCTTTCTTTTGTCTCTCAAGTACAAGTACATAAATTCACACTTAAATGTCATTTTGTTAGATTTGTCTTCATTCGTGGACGTATGGAGTTTAAATAACAAATATGAAGACTAATATTATTACTGCTACTATCGGTAACACTTTTTCGTAAAGATCATAGTACTACTGTTATTAAGATTGATTATACAAAACTATAAAAAGGGAGGAAATCAGTGTGTTTCAATTTCATTCACCGTAGTTATTGTTAATTTTGATGCCGTTATATGTACTCGGCAGACAGTTTTCTCTGTCATATATGTGTGTGTACCAATCAACGATAGAAAAAAAGTTAATTAGCTGAATCAAAATAAATGATCCGCCTTATTTTCAATTCATCAATATCCACCGTTTTGTCATCAGATTTTTTGACAACACACAACTAATACACAAGCGTATACATTGGAAAGAGTGAAAAAAAGTATGATGCCACCATATTGAGACTGTATTTATGCATTTACGTATATCAAGGTAGTATTTTTATGTCCAGTGGTGTTGTGAGCCAAGTGAACTTCAATTCAAAATCTGTCTTGTTGACAGTTTCTGTTCTTCACTGGTATTGAATTATCAACTGAAATATCAAAAAAGGCAAAGATATTGTTTAGAACTGAACAGGATGATAATCACTTACTTTGCACTAATTGTGCCTGAGCTTTTTATCTGAAGCTAAATACTGAACTGAAGAAAATGCAGTCATTTGCTTCACATTGTCGCAGAAGTTACTACTTAAGATATGAAAAAAATTATGTTGAATAGTTGACAGGCGAGATTTAGTTCCAGGAGTTTCTAAAAGCTCTAAACTCTCTATTGTGTTTAGCTTCCCAGTGAGCCTCTGTCGTATGTTCACTAGAGAAAGTAGTTCATCAGAGAGAGAGAGAGAGAGAGAGAGAGAGAGCAGACAAAACGAAATATCTATTCTAAGAACAAAATTCTCATCACTGTATGACTGGAAATATCATGAGTCAGTTAAAGATGAATAGGAATCTGTGTAATATAAAACAGGTTACATAAATCAGATATGGTAAGAAACTGTGTAAAAACAGAAATGAATAGTTATCGTGTAAAATATGAATACAAGGAATATGAGAGGTGATTTCGGTTGCTTGAAATTTTAGTTCATGGACGAAGGGTTTATACAAACTTCACATCAATTTCTAGATTAAAATTCTCCATATGAATGGCTGTAGCTCCACCAATGCTATGGGCACATAAGCCTGTGGCTTCTGAATATCCTCTTACTAAATGAGTAACTTTGAATAAATAGCCTTTTTAAATTTATTGATGGACTTTGGCAGCTTGTTTAGTAATAATACTTCTTGTAGATCCATCATCGTTTTGAAAAGAAGTGAAATATGGTTCATAAAACTTTAAAAAACAATTAGCATGAAACTGTTCACATACCTATCTTTATAGGATAGGATGAATTAATGTACACAAATTGAATTGATCAGGCAAAACGTTTACCAGTGAAGTCCACTTAAATATTTTCTGAAAAACAATGAAAACTGAACTGATCGAAAAACTGAGTCTCCTGAACAATATATTGTGATCATAGCTGCTCTGTGGGCAGAAACTAATATGTCTTTACACTAAGTTTGATGAACGAATCTAAGAAAATTAACCACACTGACTAATTGACTTCGGATGCAGCACTGACTAGCAAGTCAGATGAATAGTAATGATTAGGCGAAATGAACACTTATGCAGAGATAGGACTGTGATCACATAATCAGGATCTAGCTTTCAGGCTAAAACTAGTCAATGTAGAGCAATATGAAGGTTAGTAGGTAGTCGATAAA